ACAAAATACCCATTTATAAACTATCAAGGGCTCATGAGGGAGGAGGGAGCGGGGAGGGAGGGGAAAAATGAGGAGCTGATGCCGGGGGCTTAAGTGGAGAGGAAATGTCTTGAGAAGGATGAGGGCAATGAATGCACAAATGCGCTTTCCACATTGATGTGTGTGTGGACTGAGAAGAGACATTCGCATGGCTGTCAGGTCACCTCTTCCTCCATGACGTAGGTGAGCAGTTTCCAGTCCCACTCCACTGCCTTGGCATTAGCCGGATGCAGCCTGAAAGCCAAGGAACATCAGTTAGAGTTCTTAGGGTGTTTTGGGAGAGAAGGGATGGAGTCTGGATGATGACACAGGAACCCTTTTACTCTCAGTGCTCTTGCCCTCTCTCTGGTGTCATAACCCTACCTCAATCTGGGGAGAGTGGTACTTCATTACCTTCTGCTAGCCAGTTACACACCTAGGTTTTTTTTAAGGCACTAATACCCAATTTTGCTTCAAGAAACCAACTTTCTTGTGGCTTTAACCACCAGAATCCCAGAACAAAGCATGTTCCCTGAAAAGTCCATCATGATATTGAGCCCCTTGGCTCACGGCAATTAGCTGAAAGATGGGCCAGACCAATGAAAGCCTATAGGACTCAATTTCAGGACTCTGTGTAACCATCAGGGAAGTGCATTCTCTTTCCCACTGCGACTGTCTGTCACAACAGCCTAAAGCTTAGGGGATACCATGTGGAATCTGTAAACAGACAACACAGAGGTGAAAAGGGGTCTTGGTGAGTTGTTTTCAATATTGAGTCAAGTCGTATCTTTCACACCCTCTGGGTTTCTAGTTCTATGAGTCATTACCATTTAGTTTTCCTAGTGGGTAAAGTCAGTTGGACTGAGTTTCCTGCCCCTTTAAATTAAACTATGCTAATATACTACAAAAGCCTTCCTAAGGGTTAGATGAACACAGTGCAGGCAAGAGAATACAGTGTCTGGAGGTCATTTCCCTGGAAGATTTGCTAACAGCTGGCTGGGAAGGTTCATACTGTTGAATTTTCATGAGGAGCATGTAGGCCTCTTTGAGGACATCCACGGTCTCAGAGCCACTCAGCAGGATTTTCTGGATGATGTGAGCCACAATTTCTCTGGGTGGGTAATGCTGAGGCGACACAAAGTCCATCAAAAACTGCACAGTCCCCAGGGGGAAATTTTCTTCAATTGTATTTGCCACCATTCTTAGTCTTCGATGTGAGATGGGCTCTGCTTTTCCACCCTTATTCTACAGAGATTAAAAAAAAAGAAGAAGAATCAGCAATGAGTAGCCATAGAACATAACAACAAGAGGTTCTGCCTGTGTAGAAGGCAGCAAGGTTCTTCCTGCGTCACGTGTTTTCCCCCATAATTAAAAAAGTTATCAGAAATTTTATCTAAAAAAATCCTTTTAGTGATATGCAAAAGGCTTATATTAAATTTAAACAAAATTTAACATTCTATACACAGCACAATTTCTTCCATGTGACAATATAGGCTAGAGAAGAAAGCACACAAAAAAGCCGAAAAACAAGAAGCTGATACTAAGGGCTCAAAGAGAAAGAAAATGTTGTGGAAATGTTGATGGCAACATATGAACAAGTGTGCGTAATACGATTGATTGATGAGTTGTTATAAGATTTGTAAGAGTCCCCCAATAAAATGATTGAAAATGAAAAAAACAAAACAAAACAAAAAAAACACCCTGCTCGATACTCGCCTTCATGAAGAGATCAATGAAGTTAAGGGTGCTACAGCAAAGTGTGCTGAAGAAGCAGATGGTGCCTGGCTATCAACTGGAATAGTGTCTGGGGTTTTAAAGGCTTGTATTTAAATAAGCAGCTATCTAAGTGAGGCGTCAACTAAGTCCACATGGAAGAAGCACACCAGCCTGTGTGAGCCAAAAATGGCTTGCATGTTTCTGTGATGTTGGAAGGTGTGCCACTGGGAGTTCAAATATCAGCAGTCTCCCACGATGGGCAGGGTTCAGAGGAGTTTCCACATTAAGACAGACTAGGAAGTAGGAACAAGCAGACCATTTCTGAAAAAGTAGATACTGAAAGCTTTCTGAATAACAGTCGAACACAGTCTGAACAGTAGAACACAGTAAACAGTAGAACACAGTAAAAAGATGAGTCCCTCAGGACAAAAATCAAACTCACTGCCATTGCGTTGATGACGACTCATAGCAACCCCATAGGGCAGGGTAGCACTGCCTTGTGAGTTTCTGAGACTGGCACTCTTTACAGGGCAGAAAGTAGGCACTAAAAAAGGGCAGGGGAAGCTACCTTCTCCATGCACATAGATGGAACAAAGCATTTGGAATCTTCATTGGCTAATGGGGCACAACTAAAATTGAGAAGAAATAGCTGCAAATATCAATATTAATTAGAACGTAGAATGTATAAAGATTAAACCTAGGAAAACTGGAAATTGTCAAGAATTAAATGGAGGAGACTTCTGGTAAGATGATGAAGAAAGCATATATGGAGAAAAAAGCTGGAGCCTTGAATCTCTGAAGGAAAAAAAAGCTAAGTGAGCTGAGCACTGACAGTACAGGGAGCTGCCATGGGGCGTACTTAACCATTCCCAGTTTCCCACAGGTCCCTGGCACACGGAGGGATCCCCCTGCCCACACACCCATGGGCTTGGCAATGGCTGCAGAGCTCTTAAGCACGCCAGCTTAGGGCTATTTCAAACAGGCAGAGCACCAGGGCCCACACACCCCTATGCAGTATGGCCCTGGGCCTCACGAAGGGGTTTTTGGCTATTTTTAAACAAGCAGGATAATAGTGTCCACACATTTGCACACTCCATGGCGTTGAGCTGCACTGAGCGGGTTTGGAGATATTTTTAAACCAATAGAGTGGTACTAGAGGAGCAAGGCCCACACACTCATGGGGTGCACAGCAGAGGCTGTGGCAAACGCCCAAGCAGTGCCCTGGAGTCTGGCTTGGGATTAAAAAACCTTTCTCTCTCTTCTCTTTTTGCTTTTCCTTGGGTTTGATAAACCATCAGGAGAGGCACAGGAAGCAAGAGAGATGGAATCATCCCAAACTCCCTATAAATTTGTAGTGTCCAGAAAAGTTACCATTGCCCACTTTTACACACCTGTGTATCCTATGGTGTGTACCAGAATGGGACCTTGTTAAGCACATGCTGGTGACTAAGAAAGAGAAAAAAGCTGCTGGCTTTGGCTTGGGGTCTTCTTTTTATTGTTTTAGATTAGTTTAAAAAAAATTTTTTTTTTTGCTTTTTGTTTGTTGTTGGCTGGTCTCTTTGCTTGTTTTTAGCTATTGTGTGTTTTCCTTAATAAAAAAGAAATTCATTTATTACTCCACTGGAAGGAGACAACTGTCCCCACACACCCCAGCCTCTCTTGTACCTCCAACAGCTGTGCCAGTGGACAGGGACCACGACTCAATCCAGAGCCACTGGATCAACAAGTAATCACAAATTTAAACAAAGACACAAACAAAACCCCTCACAATGTCTTAGAGACAACCGATACTTACAGATACTTTACAAAGAAACAAGACGAGCAAAAAGACCTTCTCTGCCGCCACCCTCCCATTGAAAACAAAGTACTATATTTATTGGGTGAAATATTGATTTATAAAAGATCTTCTTAAAGAAGTTAAGACATTGGAATTACCAGAAAAAGAATTGAGAAGAATTCTTCTTAGGTTTTTCAATGGGTGGAGAGAAAGATTGAAAGAGCTATGAAGGGGAAAAATATATAGAGAGAAGAATTAAGGAAAACACTACAAAAGCAATCTGATAAAATAAAGAAACATTTAGAAACCATACAAAACAATAAAGAGAATACTAGAAGATTGATACTAAGAGAACTGAAGCAATGGAGGGCCAAATTAGTGAGCTTTAAAACAATTCTCTCAATACCTAACTATGAAAAAATAATACATAAAAACAACAACAACAATAAAAATCCAAAGAAAGTATAAGAATTATGTGGCAGACTATCACGAGAAATCACATCTTTGACAGGAATGCCTGAACAGGAGAGGGGGAAAAAGCACAGAGAGAATTGCCCCAGAGGGGCTGGAAGAACATTCCCCTAAGATCATGGAGGAGAAATCCGTGACAAGAAAAGCTGAGAGGACTTCACACAGGACACAGACAGAAAGGAACAACCACAGCGTATCACACGCAAGCCTTCCAAAACTAAGACAACGAAAGACTATCTTAAGAGAAGATCAGGACTGGAAACACAGGGAATCCAGGGCGGATGAGCCCTACAGGACCACTGGTGTGAGTGGTGAAACAGGGAGGGTAGAGGGAGAGTGCGATGGAAAGAGGGAACCGATCACATGGAACTGTGTGTGACCTCCTCCCTGGGGGACAGACAACCGAAAAGTGGGTGAAGGGAGACGTCGGACAGGGCAAGATATGACAAAATACCCATTTATAAACTATCAAGGGCTCATGAGGGAGGGGGAGCGGGGAGGGAGGGGAAAAATGAGGACCTAATGCCGGGGTCTTAAGTGGAGAGAAAATGTTTTGAGAATGATGTACAAATGCGCTTTACACAATTGATGTGTGTATGGATTGTGATAAGAGTCATATGAGCCCCTAATACAATGATTAAAAAGAAAAAAAAAGGGACTTGTTCCTTTTACCAGTTCAAAAAAAAAAGAAAAAGAAAAAAAGGAAAAGCTAGGTTACAATTAGTAAGAAAAAATGGAAATAGGAGTAGTCTCAAAGGATTCTTATGAATATAATATGAAGATAAACCAGTAGTACATATAACTTTTAATGATATATAGTAAGGTCAATTTAATTATTGTAACATGAGCATTTAGAGTGGTTAAAAAGCGTGAGAAAACTAGGAAGGATGACTTCAGAATTTCTAAGATGACTAAAATGGCAAAGAAAAGAGCATTGTGGGTGGGAGAGGGAGGGTAAATAAAGAGAAGCTGATGCCAAGGGCTCAAGCGGAAAGGAAATGTTTTGAAAATGATGATGGCGACCTATGTACAAATGTGTTTGATAGAACTGATGTATAGCTTGATATAAGAGCTGTAAGAGCCCCCAATAAAATGATTTATTAATTAAAAAAGAAAAGAAAATAGCATTTGCAAATAAAAACTCTAAAGGTACACAAAAAAAGAGAAGATCAGGAAAATAGAAACATTATCTACAAAGGGGAACCAATAAGACTAAGTTCCGATTTCTCAGAGGAACCAATCAGGTAAGAAGGTAATAGGGCAATATATGTAAAACTCTAAAGAAAAAAAAATTGTCGAGAATATTACATGCAGCAAAACTGTCTTTCAAATATGAGGGAGAAATAAGATAATTTCCAGGTAGGAACAACAACAATAAAAAAATACAGGAATTTGTAAGAACAAGATCAATCTTACAAAAAATACTATAGGGAACAACAATGTCGAAAGAAAACATTCAGACAGAGAAGTTAAGCAGATTTCAAGACAGACTAGAATGTTTTGAATTTGGGAAGAAAGGAACAAATAATAAGGTATGATCAAAGAAAATGTATGAATCTCATCAAAAGAAAAAAGAAAAATTACAAAGACCTTGTAAACAATAAAACAGTGAAGAAAAAAGGCAAATACTGTAAACACAATGAACTTGGTACAAAAAATTATGAGCAACAAATATATCAACAACACATTAAAAACCCACACACCAAAACAGCAAGAAACTCATACTTGTCAATAACAACACTGAACATAAATGAATTAAATGTACCAGTCATGAGACAGAGTAGCAGAGAATAGATAAGAATCTAGCACCCATCAATATGTACTTATAAGAAACACAGCTTACGCACAAAGACAAAATTAGATTGAGATTTAAAGGAAAGAAGAAATACACCAACCTAATGTCAGCTTTAAAAAGAACAGGAATGGCAATAAATAACATAAAATAAATAACAAAACAAACAACAAAGAAAATCCACCACGAGACACAAAGAAGGACGTTACATTATGATCAAAGGGACAACTGACCAAGATAAACTATAATAAATATCTCTGCACCCAATGAAAGAGCTTCAAAATACCTAACTCAAACTCCTCCAGATTTGAGGAGAGAAATAGATATCACTACACTCAGAGTGTAGATTTCAATACACCATTCTTAAAAAAATAATAAATCATTTTATTGGGGGCTCTTACAGTTCTTCTAACAATCCATACATCAATACCCCATCTTGAGGAAGAACAGAAAAGGAAAGAAACTCAACAAAGAGAGAAAAACTAAACG